GACTTTGCTTCTTAAATCACCATAGCCTTGGCTGGGCATGGTGGCTCACTCACACCTGTAATCCTAGCACTCTGGGAGGCAGAGGCGGGTGGATCACTCAAGGTAAGGAGTTCAAAACCAGCCTGAGCAAGGGTGAGCCCCCATCTTTACTAACAATAGAAAGAAATTAATTGGCCAACTAAAAATATGTAGAAAAACTTAGCCGGGCATGGTGACACATGCTTGTAGTCCCAGCTACCTCGGGAGGCTGAGGCAGGAGGATTGCTTGAGCCCAGGAGTGTGAGGTTGCTGTGAGCTAGGCTGATGCCATGGCACTCTAGCCCAGGCAACAAAGTGAGAGGCTGTCTCAAAAAAAAAAAAAAAAAAAAAATCGCCATAGCCTTAGACACCATCAAGGACTTTAGTGACAATTACATTTGTATATGACTTAACACCCTCAGCCCCTCCTGGTGCCTGGCCCAAATTCCAGGATTCTTCCCTTTCTTTTCCAAGGCTATCTAATCCCCTAAGTCAGGGTCAGCAAACTTCTTCTTTTTTTTTTTTTTTTTTTTAGATGGAGTCTTGCTGTGTCACTTGGCTAGAGTGCAGTGGCATAATCATAACTCACTGCAACTTCAAACTCCTGGGCTCAAGTGATCTTCCTGCCTCAGTCTCCCAAGTAGCTGGGACTATAGGCGCGTGCCACCACATCCGGCTAATTTTTGTATTTTTTGTAGAGATGGGGTCTTTTTTTTTTTTTAGACAGAGTCTCACTCTGTTGCCCGGGCTAGAGTGAGTGCCATGGCATCCAGCCTAGCTCAACAGCAACTCAAACTCCTGTGGCTCAAGGCAATCCTGCTGCCTCAGCCTCCCGGAGTAGCTGGGACTACAGGATGTGCCACGCGCATTGCCCGGCTAATTTTTTCTACATTATTAGTTGGGCCAATTAATTTCTTTCTACTTTATAGTAGTGAGACGGGGTCTCGCTCTTGCTCAGCTTGGTTTCGAAAAACTCCTGACCTCGAACAATCCGCCCGCCTTGGCCTCCTAGAGTGCTAGGATTACAGGCGTGAGCCACCGCTCCCGGTCTAGAGATGGGGTCTTGCTCTTGCTCAGGCTGGTCTCGAACTCCTGACCTCGAGCCATCTTCCTGCCTCGGCCTCCCAGAGTGTTAGGATTACAGGCGTGAGCCACCGCACCTGGCCAGCAAACTTCTTCTATAAGGGACAGATAGTAAATATTTCAGGCTCTGTAGGCATGTGATCTTTGTTGCAACTATTCGACTCTGCTGTTGTAGTGCAAAGGAGCGTGTCTATGTTCCAATAAAACTTATGATACTGAAGTTTGAATTTCACATGATTTTCATGTGTTATAAAATATTCTTCTTTTGATATTTTTCTAAGTATTTAAATGTGTAAAAATAATTTTTAGCTCATGAGCTATGCAAAAACAAGTAGCAGTCTGTACTGGCCCCACAGGCTGTAGTTGCCACTCTCTGACTGAAGCGTCCGCAGCTCTGTCAGCCACATTTAGACGGTCCAAGCTTTTCACTGACCATGGCTTTTCTGGCTAATGTAGGCGGGCTGTCCCAGCCTCCAAGGATGGGTGCAGGAGAGCTGCCTCCCCTTCCCACTCCCCAGTGTCACAGGGTCACAGGCAAAGGTGTTCTCTTTGGACTATAACCTGGTTTCCCCAGGCCCAGCACATTTCTACTCATTCTCCCTCCCAGCTCTGTGTGTCTGGGCCTTGCCAAGGCACCCCAGCCCCTACTGGCCCAGGCAGGCCTCATCACCCCTTTTTTGATTAATTCTAGATTCCAGTGTTTTCTGAATTCCAGACCCAGTGTCTCTTTTATAAAGGGAGACTTTATGCACAAGAAAAGCTCGGAAGAGGTCAGCCAGCGGCGAATTCTTGGAGAAGGGGGACTTTAAGCTGGGCTTGAGACAGGGAGAGTGACCGGGATTAGAGGAGAGAGGAGCGAGAGGAGTGTTGCTCCAGTCAGAAGCGGGGACAGGGGGCTGTGGGCAGGCGGCTGGGAGGTCAGGGTCCACACAGGGATGCCATATGGCGTAAGAGAGGGATGATTCAGAGGAATTGGTCCAGGGAGGCGGGTGGCATCGGTGGATGGGTGGCCTGCTAGACCTAGAGAACCCCGATTCAGAGTCGCTTGACTTAACAGTGTGGAAAAAGAACTCAAGAGCCTTGACTTGTGGCTCTTGCTTCTAGCCCAGTCCTGTATACTCTAGTCCTTCTTCCATTCAGTCAACAAACATTCAGTAATTCCCACAAGAGCCAGGCATGTTTAGCTTGGGAAAACATCCAGAGGTGGTCAGGCAGAAGAAAAAGGGGGGGTCCTTCTGTCTGTACTTGTGTGGAATAGGGGAGAGGAAACACACGCACACACACGTGCTCACATACATGCACACATGTGCAGATGCAATCCAACAAAGGAGGGATAAATGCCTCACAGGACCGTCAGTTGCTCAGGCAAGGCAGAGGTGACGGGTCAGGGGAGGAGGGATGTCGGTAGGAGTACCATGGAAGAGGAAGGATCTGAGCTAGGACTCAAAGGATAGGGAGCATCTGGACCTGTGGGGTGTGGGGGAAGGGCTGCCCAGGGTGAAGTGGCTGTGAGCAAAGGGGGTGCAGTAAAAGTATGGGGTGCAGACAAAGGCAAGGACCTCCACTTGGGGCATGCTCTCTGTGGGCTGTTATTGACGAGGTAGGTTTGGAGTACCCCCACTACTTCCCCTACCCCAGTGCCTGTAACCACTGCCCCATTCCACCCTGTGACAACCACTAGTAGGTTTGTGGGGGAAGCGGGAAAATACTAAGTTAGGCTAGAAAGGGGTAGCCAGCCCACAGACAGCCTTGAATGCCAGGACCAGACATTTGTCCTTTATTAAGTGAGCAACGAGTGCCCACCGAAGGCTTTTCAGCGGGGAGGGGATGAGACCTGCTTTAGGAAGAGGAAGTTTGGGGCAGTGTGCAGGCCGAATGGAAGACCCAGGGAAGCCCACAAATCGTTTATAGCCTCCTGCGACCTTCTCACCGGGTCATTTTCAATCAGGGTGGGCTGCTTTGCCCACAAGTTTTGGTGGATGGCAAAGGTTAAAGGAGGTCCTATCTGAATATCCCCCTGTTAATTGCTGGAATGTTCTATTAGAACAGCATTTGCTAAGTCAGGATTTGTCGAAGATTATACCGTCTTTCCCTATCTTTCAAATAAACCCGCCCGGGGCTGAACACAACACTCCTCTCTTCCCCTTCAGTCCACGCTGGCAGGAACTGTGCAAAACTATTAGAAGTCAGGAAAATGGGCACCCTTGGAGGGCTTTTCTCCCTTCTACCCGTCCAGCGCCCATCACCGCCTTAGCCAGCGACCCTTCGGAGCCTGAACAAGGGAACCATTCAGCCTGACCGAAGGAGAGAGGGAGGAAGACACTTCCTGCTCTCTCCCTTCCCTGGCCAGGACAGGACGTGGCTTTTGATCCAAGGCCCAGAGAATCCTGAGCTGATAAAGGCCCATTGTGGTAGCTTCTGGAGAAACCCACAGAAGCCGGTTAAAAGTCCTTGAACATTTGTGAAAGGAATTACTTGGCGGAAGTCAAGGCAGAACGAGGCCCTGGGCTGCCACTGGGAGGGCCTCTGCCATCCCTGACAGGGGGACTAATGGCAAAGCCAGCGGGAACCTGGCTGACCTGAAGGCAGGAGGGACCCTGGAGCTGTGCGGGGCAGCTCTGCATCTCAGGGCCCCTGCAGACACCTGGAGGTGAAACCCAATCTCCGGCCAAATGCAGGAAACTCGGCTACTCTTTTAAAAAGGGCCAAGGGAAGAGAGAGGAGTCTCCTGCTCCCACCTCCTCCAAGAGGGTGTCCAAGACAATAAATGGCAGGAAAAGAGGAAGGCCGCAGAGTGGAAGCTGGTCTGGAACTTATTTAGGAATTAGGCTCTTTCTACTCCAGCCTTCAACGTGCTTTGAGTCCAGGCACTTCATCATTCGCAGGCCTTACCATTGTTACAGCAAAAAAAGAGGGACGAGATGTCCTGAGGCCAGAGCCCAATGATGCCGGGGGAGGTGGCCGGGTGGCGGGCTGGACGTTCATTGGAGGGTCAGGAGCCCACCGCACGCCTTGTCTGCTCCCGAGAAGAATGGGAAGGGACCAGATCGCTGCTGGGAGGTCCCAGGGGGATGCGGGGTGTAGGGACTGGGAGAACTCAATCCCCAGCTCCACCCCAAATCTGCATCTGGTCCCCCTCTGTCCCAGCTGACAGCTGGCCCTGTCACTCAGAGGAAATGCTGAATCCAGGTCAGGGAGCAGCCTGCAGAGTCTTCTTAAAGGCCCTGTCTGTGGCCAGGTGGTGAGCCCAGGGATTACGGGGAGAGCTGAGGTTACAGCACAGTCAGTGCTGCGTGCTCACGATGCACGTTGTTTCCACTTTGCTCTTAAAAGAACTTGCGGCAGGTGATTCGCACGGTTACTTTCTCAACCTGAGGCCTGCTTTCCCTCCCCACTATCCAACAGGCACAAACTCACCCCCCCCCTCAAATGCCAAGGTGCTACCAATTTCCCTATCAGCCAAAGCGAAGCAGAAATAAGCAACACAAACCCACTGAGGGCCCCCAAGCCATCTAACATGCATCAGAATCAAATGACAGCGCACTGAGGGCTACTGGACGTGTGCATTTCTCAACTGCTTCCCTCATGTCAGGGGAAGGTGGTGGGCAGGCCTGTGACCCCTGGCTAGTGGTGGCACCAAAACACAGAGCAACGTTGACTGACCCCCACCCACCCTCGCCTCCTCCTGACAAACCTCATCTGATAGCCCTGAGATTCATCTCAGAGTGGGGATGGATCTGGAACACAGCACAGAGTGTTTTCTGAAAACAAAGAGTTTTCTGCCGTGCTGGAGGCTCTGTCCCAGCTGGCAATACAAACACGTGCGCACAAAAACTGCTAGAACGCTCTGTTCTGCTCCCATGGCTCCCACAAACAAAAAAACAAACCCATGACTGAGCTGAAGGTCTGGGTGTCATTTATTGACAGCAGTTTACACACATTTGTTTTCTTCCCATGGTTGTTTCTTTCAAAGCACAAGTACAGAGCCCTCGAGAAGGGCAGTCTCTGAACGAGGGAGCCAGGAGCTCAGGATGTCTTTGGCAGGCACGTCCAGCCCCGGCAGGATGCAATCCTTCAAGCTGGAGTTCCGCTGGGTATTTGAGAGGGACCAAGGTGGGGGGTGGACAGGAAGTCTTCGACAGACTCACATCTCAGTCCAGGCCTCCTCTCTCCCTATCCAAGTCCATCCCAGTCTTGGGACCCTGGGGGGCAGCAAAATCAGCCCACCCACCTCAACAGGGGCAGATTCTTCAATCCATGCCCTGTTTGCACACATCTGCTTCCGCTGGCCACAGTTACAGAGAATCAGGCTTACGGGAAGAGACAGACCACTTCCTCTCTGACATTCCCCAGCACCTCTCTTCGGCTGCATCTGCACAAGAGCCGCTGGAAAACTGAGGCCTGCCTTTGAGGTCCAGCCGTGCCTGCCACCACCTGCCACCTGTGCTCCCAGTCCGTCACACACACTGTCCTGCCTTTGTTCTGCCAATTGCCAGTGCCTAGGCCGAAGCTCCAGCAGGCCTCGAACCAGGACCCAAAGTGAGTCTGCGTAGGCACTTGGCAATTTTTGGTAGGGAGGTGGATAAAAAAGTAGGTGGGTGTGAGAAGAATGAAAGAGCTTGATTTGATAGAGTAATTAGAGATCTGAAGTGATTTTACTTTTATTTCCTTCACGGTAAGCCAATCATGAGATTTCACAGTGATTTCTGGGTGGGGCAGAAGGAGGTGGTGTTAAGCATCAGCAGGGCTGTGGCCCCACTGGCCTGAGGAGGTGCAGGCAGGGTGGGTCCTCCTCACTGGGGCAGCTGCAGGAGCACGGACTGCCCCGCCGGCAGGTAGGTGATGTTCCGAGAGCGTGACAGCTGGTACGCAATGTCCTCGGCGGCCTCCAGCTTGCGCAGCTCGATCAGGCCGTCCCCCGCGGTGGCCAGCGAGTTGGCGATCAGCTCGGCTGCCTTGGAGTCGCCCTCGGCAGAGATGATGGCCGCCTTTTTCTGCTGCTCAGCCTGAAAGAGTGGAGGTGGAGAAAGACTACGATCAAACCGCAGGGCCAGGTCACAGCCAAGACACACCTTCTCTGGAAAGGTGTCTTCACTGGTTCCTGAAGGCACCCCGGGAACTTAACTCCGGTCCCTGATGGCATCCTCAAGCACACTGCCGCCAGTCCCCCTCTTCCCTTTAACACCCGCTTCTCGCCATCGCAGGGACACATTTCTGTTGGCTGTATAAACATCTGTCTTATTTCAAAGTCCTCATTAATATTAATAACTGTCTAATCCCGCCACCCTACTCTGAACCGGGAGGATCCAAGGCCAAGGAAAGCGGGAGAAAAAGAAAGGGGGAATCAATCCTCAGGCTCATGTTTCCCTCCAGTCTTGAGTCAAAGCAACTTTCATCAAAGCCAGGACAGCTAAGCAAGAGCAGCATGCCATTTGTGACTCTCCCTCAAGGAGCCTGTGAACTGGGATGGTTCCTGACCAGGGACCCAGGTGCCCAGATGAGATCTCCTAGGCTTGCCCTAGCTGTATCAATAGGGTGCCATCTCTCTGCAATGTGTGACTTTCAGAAGCGTGAGAGGATACAGTACCAAGCCTCTCTGAAATTAACACACAACTTTGAAACTGCTAGGATCTTTCTGTTTGCTCAACAAATATTTATTGAGCACTTAGTATCACCAGGCACAGTTCTAGACTTGTTAAAGCTCTGGAATTATGGCAGGTACAAACTTTGTGTTTACACAGAGTTTACATTCTCCAAAATTAAATCTATCCCTCTTTTCCTTGTTTATTTTTTGCTGTCTCCCTCTCCTCACCACTGGTGGAGAGCAAGAAATAAGCACATCTTTGCAAATACAAGGAAAATCAGGCTGCTATGCAAACAAATGGTGTCCTATCACACTCTTTGACACATCTGGATGGATTTAGCACCAAAAAAAAAAAATCTGGTGACGAAAGCACATCTGGCACGTTTGATCGTTTTTTTGCTGTCAGCTTTCACTATGTAACCACGGTTAAAAATGACTTCTTGGTGAAGCTGAAAATATTCCAGCAGAAACATTTTTATTTGTAGGAGACTGTTTTTGATCTTAGGGAAGTAGAAGAAAAATGACTCTTTGGTGATTTAGGAATGTAACTTCACATATCCCTGACTAGCCCCCAAAGACTCTGGAACCAATTGCAGGAGTACGGTTCCTCCAATCCCTTTCTGATTATCTCGGAAGAAGAGATGACAGATGATGAATTTCCAGGCCACCCAGCAAACGGGAAGCGGAGCACAGGAGAAAGGGAAAGAGAGGCTCCTGCCATCTGGTTGAACGCTCACCTTTTCCACCACGAATCTGGCCCTCTCTGCTTCCTGCTGAGCCACCTGTTTGGCTTCCACCGCTTCTGTGAACTCCTTCCCAAAGGTCAGATGCGTCTAAGGGGAGAGAGTGAGTGCAAGATGAGGCGGTGTGATTGCTTAGACAGCACTGCCGGGAGGCCTCCCCAGCCGCGGGAAGGAAGAGGTCAGGAATGGCTCTAGCAGCTGGAGGCATCTGTGAGGCCACAGTACCCTTCCACCCCCACATCCTCGTCCAAACTGAGTTTATACCCCAGAATCCTTGGCTGCCCAAATTGCTGCTGTATGTCACTCTGTCATCCTCAGGGTGGTGATCTTGTGTAGAAAATGGCACCTGGGGCCTTTGATGGAGCCCACAGCATCACAAGTATCTACTCAGTCGACCACCTCCCCAAAGCAGGAGACCTGTGGGTTCCAGGACCCCCCCCCACCGACTAGTGCTCTCCTTTGCTGCCCTGTTCAAAGGCCCAAGAGAGGCCAGATGGAAAACTGAGCCCCTGAGAGTGGGGAATGCAGCTGGTTCCCAGGGATCCAAGAGCCTGATCCTCTCAGCTTATGGATTAACCAGTCTGCTCCTTCCTACAGCAGCTCCACTACTAAACAGGAAGAGGACGAGAAAAGGTAGAATGCAGATCATGGTATTCCCAGTGTGAGTGGTTCTGGCAAAAGGTTTAAAAAAAAAAGAAAGCAGGTAAAGCCATTGGGCAGGGTAAGGGTTTAAAAGTCTGAATATCCATCGACCTCCCCATATCACATAAATGAGACTTGGCTGAAGGCACTGTCTCTAAAGATAGTACACACAATGGGAACAGATCTCAGAACTCCTGACACACAGCCTAGAGCAATTTACTTACTCATCCAACTTTTTACTGAAAAAGGAGAAAGAAAGGGAAGAGCATGGGTTATGCCATCACATTCTATTTGTTTCACTTCTTCCTCCACCCTCCCAACCTGTTTTTTAAAACATATAAGCAGCCCCCTGGTCCTGCTGTCTTCCAGAATTTTTAACACCCCTAACTCTTAAACTGCAGGTGTTCTACTTTGCCTGATCCATTTCTGGACTCCTCTTCAAAGTTTGGGTAAGAAAATATGATCCTGAGAAGTGAAAAATGAAATGTATAATTAAGGAATAAAATTTCTTTCTGAAAGGGCCAGCCAAGGGCAGCAAATTCCCCATGAAATCTCATTTTCTTTGCACACCTCTTAGATATGGTTTCTTGTGGTCAGCCAGCATTTCCCCAGAATGGCGTATGTGGTTAAAGTCTAGTAAAATGCCAGGTTTTTTCCTGGTAGTGGGGGAGCCTGAGTGAGGGGTGGCGCTTGCCAGGGGAGCTGAAGGGCTGCAGCCTGGCAACTTGCCAGCAGAGGGCGCCCCAACTCTCCTGGACTTGAGCAACTGGAGCGAGATGGAGCAGTGCCCTCCGGGTTAGCACTGGGTGTCACAGAGCGTGACTGTTTAAACAGCTGCACAGATGCCGGGCGGGAAGTGGGGCCTTTCCCTAGTGATGCACAGGAGAACTGAACAGGAAACGCTTTACCTCACTACCCGAACAAATCACTCCAAATGATTTTTCCCAGAGAATCTAGAAACACGACCCCTTCCCCTCACCCTCCTCGACCCGAAATGCTATCCTGCCTGTATTGCTTTCTGTCTGAGTTATGACATTCAATGTCATGTAAATACAGACTATAAGGTCTCAAGAGGATAGCTTACGCCTCAGAGATGTCCCTTGCCCCCTCTACCAGGCCTTGGGGAACGGGACCATTCATTTACACTCTATCACCTTTCACTGGGGTTTCCCAGAACTCACTTCACTGAGCTTCAGACTACAAGTGTTGGGAAGCTCCCCGGGGCCATGCTGGGAGGCCTGTGCTAGGGAGAAAGACTACCTGAGTTGCTCTCTGTCCCTACCAGGCAGTTTCTTCCTGTGTCCAACAGAGTTAACACGATATCATTTTCCGGGGAACTTTGGGGAACACTCACAGTTTTGATGTAGTGGCCAGGGACCATCTGGGTATGACCAGAGGTAATATGAAAAATGTGTATGGCAGAGGGGAGTTAAAAGAACCCACGACCAAAAACAAGCTCAAGGAAAATGCCTCACACCATCAACAAGTTTCCACGTTTTCAAGTCTCACATCTTGAAAGTAGAAGGCAGAACCTGGATAGTGTCTATCCAGAAATGGAGCCAGGCACCTCAACAAGAACTGCAGCCCCTTCCCTGTGGGCTCCCCAAGGATCTTACCAAGGAGACATCGTCCAGGATGAGCCCGAAGGTTGCTGCTCGCTCCGTAAGGTCATCGCTCACCTGCCTGGAGACCAGCTCTCTCTGGGTGATTAGTTCCCCTGCATCAAAGCGAGCCTGGTTTCAAAGAGAAGGGCAGAAACGTAGGTCAGGTTAATGAGGGAGCAGACAAGGAACCAGGAAAGTAACAAACAGCCACAATCCCAACCAACCCACTGCCAAACTCTTCTTGCCACCTAGCAACTGCTTGGAGACGTGCTCTGTGCTTGAGGCCCAGGGCCCTGCTCACTCACCACCACTGACTTGAGGATCTCTGTAGTGATGGACGGCAGCACGCGCTCGTCGTAGTCCTCTCCGATGCTGGTGAAGATGCGCGGGAGCTGGCTAGCCACAGGCCGGAAGAGGATGCGCAGCGTGATGTTGACATTCTGTAAATCTTTGGGCAGGGGACAAACACTGGAGTTAGAAGCAAATTTGCTAATTATAAGGCCCTAGAAGGCAAGGAGAGGGTATGCCTGGCTTTTTTGGTAGAGAACCTAGCAGAATATCACACAGTTAGGAACTTGTTTCTTTCCTTATTATTATTTTTGTGTGTGTGTGTGTGTGACTGGGTGTCCTTCTGTTGCCCAGGCTAGAGTGTAGTAGTGACTTAATCATAGCTCACTGCAACCTCAAACTGCTGAGCTTAAGTGATCCTACTGCCTCAGCCTCCCCAGTAACAGGGACCACAAGTGTGTGCCATTGCACCTAGCTAAATTTTTTTTTTGCTTTGTATTTTTTGTAGAGACAGGATCTTGCTATATTGTTTAGCTGGTCTTGAACTCATGGCCTCCAACAGTGCAATCCTCCCACAATGCAAGGATTATAGGTGTGAGCCACTGTGCCTGGCCAGGAACTTCTTAAAGGTTCCAGTGATACCAGCTTTTCACTACATCTGTCCTGAATGCCCTCTGAAATAAGCAATTCAGATTATATGCCTAATAGGTGACATGCAATGTTTGGAACACTGAACATTTTAAGGTAAGAGACGGGCCAATGCCAAGAATTCTAGGGTGAGGGGCATTCTTTTTTTTTTTTTTGAGACAGAGTCTCACTCTGTTGCCCAGAGTGGAGTGTCGTGGCATCAGCCTAGCTTACAATAATCTCAAACTCCTGGGCTCAAGCAATCCTCCTGCCTCAGCCTCCTGAGTAGCTGGGACTATAGGTGCATACCACAATGCCTGACTAATTTTTCTATTTTTAGTAGAGACAGGGTCTTGCTCTTGCTCAGGTTGGTCTCGAACTCCTGAGCTCAAGCTATTTACCCGCCTTGGCCTCCCAGAGTGCTAGGATTACAGGTGTGAGCCACTGTGCCGGCCTGAGCTTATTTTCTTGTCTGTGAGAATGAGGATAATTTCATCTGCCTTCCAGGAATGTTGGAGGAAAGTGAAGGAGAGAAGAGATATAAAAGCACTATCAAAGTGTGACAGACGTAAGGGCTGATCAGACTCATCTATGGTCTGCTTCTCATTACTTGGGCCAGTTGGGAGAGGACTACACCTTCCCCTGAACACTTCAGGCCTACTCGGAGCTAACGCACTGTCACAGCTTGCTCACAGTCAGCAACGAGATGGACCAAGTGCCCACGAGATAGAGTCCCCAACCAGGCACCAAGAGAGGTGGGAAATATACTAATACATACAAGTCCCTGATCTCTGGATGTTCCTATCTACTGAAATAGGTACATATTTTAGAAATGGGTACATTATATATTCTTGGAACAATTACAAAATAGCACAGAAAAAAAATCCCAAAGAGGTGGGAAGTTTAGATGTAGGCTTTCAAGTTAAATTTTATGTTGCTCCATGATTTTATTTCCTCTTTTGCAATAGGCAAGCCAGACCCTTTACAGGAAGCTCTGCTCCTCCTGATCAGGAGCTACAGAACAGATTTACCAATTCCCTCGTCCCTCTCTTCTCTGCACGACACACTTCTCCCTCTGCAAGTCCCAGCTCAGACGTCCTTTCCTCACGGAAGCCTTCCCAGCACCCATGGGAGTGAGCTGCACTCTTCTGTGCTCCCCTAGCACTCCATATGACCTTGGCTCTGGTACCTACTCCACTCTACTGTCACTGCTTGTTCGCACGCCTATCTTCCTAGCTAGCCTGAGCTCCTTAAACGCTCCTGTTTCAGTCTCCTTTTTCCTACCCTCACTCTCCAACCCAGCACAAAGCCTGGCACAATCACAGTAAGCAAACATCTGCTGAGGAAACAGCAATGAAGGCATCGACTGCTACCAAGAAACCAATGTCCACAACCTTCTCCTCCTCTCTGTGTGTAGAAAAGTCACTCCTGGACCACACCCCTGCTATTCCATTTACTGTCTGGATTGGGGAGACTGGTGATGGCAAATCATTTCAGGCTCCAACCAGTGACCCAGTGGAGCGTCATAGACACCAGGAGGGTGCTCTCAGGGCCGTGGGGCTCAGCCCATGGGGTGACAACGTGAGGTGTGCACTGCTGGATCACAGGCCGTGGAAAGCAAGGCAAAGAGTAAGTCAGCTACAAAGGCAGACAGAAGGAGACGGTTTATATATTCATGCTGGGGAACAAAAGCTCATGGGAAGGGTTAACCGAGGGGACAAAAGCCACAATTATATTTCTTTAAAATAAGATCATGTAACTCTTAAGATGTACCTCAAGAGGCATATTTCTCTAAATGTGTACTGTTGTCCGTGTGTGTACCTTAAGTAGGCAGTTCTTTCTAAGAATCCATATAAAGCTTTCCAGGGTAAATATGGCACCAATTCTTTTTTTTTTTTTTTTAAGAGGCAGTGTCTCTGTCACCCAGGCTGGAGTGCTCTGGCCTGATCATAGCTCACTGCAGCCTCAAATTCCGGGGCGTAAGCAATCTTCTTGCCTCAGCCTCCTGAGTAGCTGGCACCATGGGTACATGCCACTATACCCAGATAATTTTCTCATTTTTTTAAACAGATGGGGTCTCTCTATATTGCCCAGGCTTCCCTGGCCTGCTAGTAATTCTTATGATGTGCAGTCCAATCTCTTTTGGATTCTGGTGTCCTGTAGATGCTTCTGGACCTGACAAAAGAGCAGAGCACCCCTTCCACACTTCCTACTCTACCTGACGCACAGGAAAGACTCACCTTTGCTACCAGTGATGACTGGCACGTTACGCGGTCGAGAGCGGCAGTCAAAGATAATTGGTTTCTGTACCCATGGGATGAGAAAGTGAGTCCCTTCCCCTACCACAATGTCCTGCACTCCACGGAATCGGTCAAAGATGACAGCTCTGTGCCCAGCATCCACTAGGAAGGAAGGATAATGACAGGTCAGAAAAATGCCCTCATCCTTTAACCAAAAGAATCCTGTCTTTGAAGAGCCCCAGTGCTTTCTGTTCGCTTAAGTCTCCCCTCTCTTGCTCTGGCTTCCCAAACATATGGTCTCAAGAGACTTCTAAATAGTTACAAAGCTAAGCAATCACTTTCTATCCCACTTGTCTCCCCCAAGGACCTCAGTAATAGACTCTATTACTTCACATCCTTTCTCCTTGAAAAAACTGGCTGTTAATCTTCTGATCGACCAACCCATCCCCAAACTCCCACCAACACATTTCCAGGAATCACCTCCCCAAACTTCTAAAACTCAACTCAGCTTCACTGTTACCCCATGTCCATCCTGGCTCCAATTTAACCCAGTGCTCCAAGAAGCAGCACCCTCAATACAGGAATCCTAAACTTTAGAAATTCCCACTCTTTCTTCCTAATAGTTTGGTTTCTCTACAATTTTAAGGGGTCGCAGAACTTTCTTGTTGATTCAGAGAGAAATTTAGTAACAGAAACTACCATCTAGTTGTGTAGATGTGGCCAAAACGATCACGGTACTACAAAGATGTGTCATGTACGCCAAGCAGGCTTTTCTAATCAGCAGCCCCACTGGACTTTATAGTTGGCCCAAATATCCTCACTCTGAAAGTAATCCTCCTCTTGTCAGCCGTGCACCAGGCAGGTCCATCTACTGCTGCTTTGTGGCAGTGAACCATATAGAATGTCAGAGTTGGATGGACACTTAAGAGATAAACTAATTCAATTCCATTGCTTGATCAATGTGGAAGCTGAGGCCTAGAGAGGGGGAAATGACTAGCCTAAGGCCACACAATAAAGCAGAAGAAAAGCCAGCGTAACCCCCGGCTACACTGTAAAAGCTGGGCAATGCATCTCTAAGATATCTTCTCTGAATCCACCCAACTTCAGCAGAGCGAAAACTCCCACTCAGGACAAGGTCACTCCAGCAGGTCTGGAACTTTTGCTGAGTTATTCCACACACAAGCAGAAAAGAACAAAGGCAATCTCCATTTCAGCTAGCCAATGAAATGCTGACACTCTGCTGCAGCGTTTAGGTGGTGCGGCATCACTTCAAATTGGCAGGAGCAGCTAAAAACATCCAATTAGCAATTGGGCTGGGAGGCTCTTTTTGAGTAAAAGCTCTGAGTGAATCTATGCCTAAAAGGACAAGGGCCCTGACAACAATGCAACCATACAGTGTAGGATGGCAGGAGGTGAGCCCTGTAGGCCACAAACACATTCACAGACAGCAGCTACCAGCAGGAGTGTCACATGGGGTTTGCAGATAAACAGAAATCTTCCCACAAAGGACAGTGCCGCCCCACCCCCTGCCGGCCACCTCTCAGTGCCTCACCATTATACAAGGCAGAGTTCACCACGCCTCCTGCAACGGCCAAGGCCAGGCCGAACTTGCCAATGGACTCAAACACTTTGGCAGCCATGTTTCCTTCTGTTGGACCCACTCACACCTAAGGGGGTAAAAACAAAACAAAACAATATAACACTTGGACACCAATTCCTCAGAGAAAGCCCTCTCTGAGGCACAACATTCACATATCAAGCTGTCTATTTATTTCTCTGCTCCTGAAAGCTCTAAATCATCCACTGAAAGATATCTAATAAATAACACCCTACAGCTTGGAAAGTGTAGTATCAATTCCTCTGCTTTTTTTCTTTTTCAGTTCTTTCTTAACCACTTAAAGAAAGGGCACTTGTTCAATAATGGAAACAAGGCATGGGTTTGATATCCATAGGGAACTTCGCACCATACTAAGCCACCCTCTCATTTCCTAGACAAGTAGGCCCTAACAAAGAGGCTGTGTGGTAGGTTCAGTGCAATTTGGGTTTGAAACATAATTCAAAGAATGTGCTACATGGTGATGACAACAACAAAAATAACAGTAACAGCTAACAATTACATAAGGCAGTCTTCCAATAGGAATTTATTTACTCTTTACAATTACTCTATGAATTAGATTAGTACAGGCAAGGAAACTGAGGCATACAGAGAGGTTACGTGAGAAGCCAAAATCACAGTTGCTAAGTGGCAGAATCATAATTAGAACCTGGAAGTTTAATTCTAGCTGGCACAGCTTAATCCTCACCATACTGGTTCTTGACTTCATGTATTAAGAATGACTTGTTATCATGGAAGCAGGAGCTGGATGACATTCTGGGACCAAGATAACAGAAGAACCAATTTGGCAGAAAAACTCTAAATAGCTGCATGGTGAGGGAGAGCTCTGGAAGAACTAAGGGCTTGGGGCTGAGGTGGGGTGGGCGGGAGCACGGCTGCGCTAACTACAAACCACTAGCATTTAACTTTTTAATGCCCCACCCCGACGTGGTGGTTAGCTCCAGACTACTTCCCAGACTTCAATTCCTGATAACATCTTGATTTCTCCCCGTGCATTTAAACCTTCCTTCTCTGAGGCTAGGGCACTTTCCATTTCTAATAGCTTCTGGATCGTTTCTCACCCTGCCCCCATACGGACCTCCCTTGCTCTGCGCAACCCCTGGCTCGTCCCGGGCTCAGCCCCTTTCCCCTCCCCAACAAGGTGGACTTATGCACGCACTCTACTCGCCCAAAGTGCACATGGCGGGGAGAAAGAAGGCTGCAGAGACACCCGACACAGGCCTCAGCCTCCTCTCACCATTCTCACCTGCTTCCACTCTGACCTCCACATGAATTCCCCAGCCACACATGCTGCGCGTGCGCCGCACAGGTACGCCCCTTTCCCGCCCTCCTTCCAAGATCCACGCCTCTGATTGGTAGGAAGCAGCGCTGTGAGTTCTGGGAAGGGTGGCTTGCAGCCTTGCCCTGATTCTATTACTCTTAATAGATGAACTACAATTCCCGAAAGGCTATGCGGCGGCTGGCCTGCGCAGGAAAGCCTTTTCTCTTTGGTGGTAACTGCAGCGATGTTGCCGCAAAGCCTTTTGGGGGCTGTAGTTTCTTGTGGATAAATGCACGTGCCTATCCGGTGCCAATGCTAAAACCGCTGGAAGATGAGCCTTAGGGACCTGGGAAAGAAGTATGGGCGTCTAGCTGGTAGGGGCATCCAACTGGTAGCAAAAAACGAGCAACGGAAAGTTTGTGACTGATGGAAGAGGACGGGTGGGCACTTGGGAGAAAATGTGGTGAAATAGCTAACTGGTGGACTGAGAATCCTTGAGGGAAGCCAAGGGCCATCTTCTTTTCCGAAGCCCTTTTTGGAAATGCCCTCAGTCTGGAGACGTTGATTACCAGAGCCAGAGAGAACCTTAGACACCATTTGTACTCCTTCTTCACACAAAAAAGTAGAAATATGTAAAAAGAAAGAAAAAGAAAAAAGTTAATAATAAAATCATTTGTACTAAGAAAACTGAGAGGAAGGGATTCATTCAAGGTCATGCACTGAGTGAGCAAAAGGTTCTGCTTAGAGTCCAGTTCTCCTGGACACAATTAAAAAAAAACATTTTACTTGGAAAAGTTGCAAGAACAGTGCAAAGAACACATATATAGGCTGGGTGCGGTGGCTCACACCTGTAATCCTAGCACTCTGGGAGGCTGAGGCGGGAGGATCGCTTGAGGTCAGGAGTTCAAGATCAGCCTGAGCAAGAGTGAGACCTCGTCTCTAGTAATAATAGAAAAAATTAGCCGGACGTGGTGACAAGCGCCTATAGTCCCAGCTACTTGGGAAGGTGAGGCAGAAGGATTGCCGGAGACCAGGAGTTCGAGGTTGCAGTAAGCTAGGCTGACGCCAGGGCACTCCACTGAGCAACAGAGTGAGACTCTGATTCAAAACAAAAACAAAAACCCACGCATGTATATCCTTTACTCAAATTTACCTATTGTTACCAGTTTGCTCCAGCTCCATTTGCTTTATCATTTGTTTACTCCTTTCCCCCTCCTTTCCCATCTCCTTCCTGTCCCCACTTCCTCCGCCCTGTGTCAGAGTGTGCGTGTGTATGTGTGTGTGTGTGTATTTTCTAATAAGGATGTCCTTTTACCTGAGTAAATGTAATCTATCTTCTACATTCCAATTTTGTCAGTTGACCCAATAATGAACTTTATAGGACCGCCTCCCAGTATAGGATGCAATCTAAGATAAAGTACTTATTTATCTTTCATGTCTTTTTAGTCTCCTTTAATCTGAAAAAGTTCCTCAGTCTTCCTTTTTCTCTTGTTACGATTTTAAAAAATAAGATGCTTCTCATTTTGGGTTTGTCTGATGTTTCCTCAATATTAGATTCAAATTTTGCTTTTAGCTAGGATACTACCTAAATGATGTATGGGCACCGAATTATTTTAATGAAACCAGGCCCGTTTCTGGATTCTACTACAATTGGATTCTTTCAACTTTTCCCTGCATTTCTCTCCTCTCTGTCCCCTTTCTTTGTTCCCACTTGACACAATCAAATGACCAAAGATCTCCATGGCAGCATTCCTCAGATGGTATAAGTTTGCCTTAACCAACCACACTTTTTCCTCTGACCTCTAGAGGTCTATGAGAGCTGGAAGTTTAGTCTGATATCTTCATTGTTCTATTCTCAGCACATACAAATACGACAGTGCTTAGCACATAGTAAGCCCTCAATAAATATTTGTTGAATGAATCAGTGATGAAGGGCATGGAACTGGCTGACTAGACAGGCTGTGGCCAGAAAACACAAGACAGGCTTCCCCAGGGTCCTGCAAGATTAGCCTCAGTATTGTTTGCTTCTAATCCAATTTTGATGTCAGGAATGCTAAAAATATTAAAAGTAACCAATTTTTGCATAGTTTTCAAGCCTGTGTATCCACAGAATCCTATGTGAACATCATTACAACCCATTATCCCTATTTTATGGATAAGGAAATGGAGGGTCAGAGGTTAAGTGGCTTGCTCATGGTCACTTTCCTAGTCAGAGCCAGACTGGATGGGAACACAGATCTTCTAGGTCTAAGCCATATGTTCTTTCTATTTCTCTACATTATGTACTGGGAAACAAAGACAACAGAAAAGCTCAGTTGGTATGAGGGATTTATGTGGACCTGGGCTAGTTGTAGATGGGGAGATGGGGAGAATGAAGGGTAAGGAATCTGATGAAGGTATTTGGGAATAATTTTGGTGTGACGAGGCAAAGATTATGGGTAGAGCAGCATTTGTGCATTAGTTTTAGAAGTGGGTCCAGTTTGTTGATACATAGAGCATATTCCCCTTCAGCCTTCTCCCCTTGGGGATAAGAAAAAATATATCGTGAGCATTTACTGTGGATCAGTTGCTTCACACATAATCTTATTTAGCCTTATTTCTTATTTCTATTTCAGAAATGAAGAAATAGAGATTCAAAGAAGTCAAGTAACTTGCTTATAGTTGCACAGCTGATAAAAGGCAGGTAGGTTTGATATCACAGCCTGTGCTTTTCTAAGCTGTGGAAAGGGGTAGTCTGTAAGTGATATCTTCACAAAAGTCAATTCGACTCCCTAGCTCAATGCCAATATGGGAGGAGTGGTAATTAAAAGAAACAATTATAGAAGAACATTTCTTTTTCTCTATTCGTTTAACACACTTATATTGGAGGTCTGTCATTTTCTAGCCATCATGCTAGACTTTGGGGATAGAGTGATGAAGAAAACAGAAGAGGACTCTGTCCCCACAGAGTTTATATTATGTGGTGAGGGAGGGTGGTATACACACAAAAACCAAGTACATGAAGAAACAAATTATATGAAAAAAAACTTTTGAGATAAGATCTCACTTTGTCTCCCAGGCTAGAGTGCAGTGGTGTTGTCATAGTACTCAGCAACCTCAAACTCCTGGGCTCAAGTGATCCTTCTGCCTGAGCCTCCTGAGTAGCTGGGACTATAAGTGTGTGCCATCATGCCCAGCTATATGTGAAATTTTGACGAGTTTCATGAACAAAATAAGCAAACGATAGGAGGATGTGTGAATCAGTATGGAAAGTTTTGGCAGCAAGTAACAGTAAAGTGAACTCAACTGGCTTAACCAAGAAGGAAATACATGATATCAAATGGGAAATCCCAGAGGAGGGCAGTTCTGGGGTTGGTTAATTCAGTGGTTCACCAAGCTCATTAATGATGCAGGGTCTTTCTATCTTTCAGCCCTACCATCTTCAGGTGTTGACTTTTGTTCTCATGCTTGTCCCCTCAAGGTCACAAGATGGCTGCAGAAGGTGCAAGCTTAATGTTCTTGCACAACAGTAACCAAAGGCCAGAAGGCAGGACCCATTTTTGGGTTCCTTTATAAGAGTGAGGTAGAGTTGAACAGAAGTAACCACCAGGCATCCCCTCATGTGTTACTGGGCAGAATTGTATCACCTACCTATTTCTAGGCAGTCACTGGCAAAGGCATGTCATTGCCATGTTGGGACTCAACAAATCAAGAGGCAACCTCTGGGACGGGGGAGGGGTCTTACTTCTCCTAAACCACATGATCTAATATCCTAAGAAATCAAAATGGGCGCTTTTGTTAGCAAGGAAGAAGGATGGAAGGGAGAATAGATGTTGGAATTGCAACCAACAGTGTCTGCCATAAGGGTCTATTTGGACAAGCTTGTCAAGGAGGCTTCTATGAGGATATGACATTTAAGGCAAGATGTAAAGAAGTGAAGACACAGAAAGGGTTAGGTGGGAGAGACAAGGGCATTCAAGGGAATAATAACATGTGCACATCAAGCACAAGGCAAGGCAAGACTGACAGATTTCACTGGTAAAGAGACAAAGAGCTCTTTTTATAATAGATTCAGGCAGTTCAGTACTTACATACATAGTGAAAGGAAGAATAGCCAATGGTACCAGCTCCTAGTGGCCCTTGTGCAGGTGACACTGAAACGAAAGGGGCCAGAGGACTACAACACAAATAACAGGACATCCCGTTGCCGAGGAGCCAGTGGCATGCTGCAGCTAAGCAGCATTCTAGTTTGCAGCTGTATGCTTAGGGGAAATGAGACAGAGAGTCTCATACCTCCGTCAGAACCTGGAAGGCTATGAGAAATTGTCTCATGACAACTTTCCTGGCAGATAGGACAGCGAATGAGAAATAGCCTTGTAGCAACTTCTTATAAGCCTTCCTTGTCATCCAGGAGGATCACAAAGCGTTCTGCCAAGACTTAAATTCAACTGAGCTTCCTTCCAGTCTTGCCTGCGTGGACAGTGTGGAGATGTGTAGGTTGCCAGGGCGCTGCGGTAGAGCCATTTTCCTACAATGCAAAGGACTTAAGGCAGGTCAGAGCTTGATCCACCGAAGGAACCAAATAAGGAGGAATATGGCCCAAGTGCGTAAAAGAATGGGAGAGTTACATAAGATTACGATGGTGGAACAAGCGAGTGCCAGATGTAGGCTTTGCTGAAAAATTTTGTTTTATTTTAAGTACAACGGGAAGTCCCTGAAAGTTTTAAAGCAGGAGAATGGATATTTCCTTTTTGGGGAAACCAAACAACCCAAGAGAAAAATCTACAGATGCTAACAGTTGGAGTTCCCCAATGAAAGAACTCAGGCAGACCACCTTGGCACAATGATTCTTAAACTTTTTTTAAATTTATTTTTTATTGATATACAATAATTGTACATATTTATGGGGTTACATGTGATATTTTGATACATGTATACAATGTGTAATAATCAAATCGGGGTCTTTAGGATATCCATCACCTCAAACATTTGTTATTTGTGTGTTGAGAACATTTCAAATCTTTTCTAGCTATTTTGAAATATACATTAAATTGTTAACTATAGTCACCGTACTGTGCTATCAAACACTATAACATATTCCTTTTATCTAACTATGTGTTTATACCCATTAACAACTTCTCTTCATCCTCCCTCCTCCCACCCTTTTCAGCTTCTGATAACTATCATTGTACCCTCTACCTCCATGACGTCAATTATTTTAGCTCCCACAATTGAATGAGAACTTGTGATATTTATCTTTGCCTGGCTTATTTCACTTAACATAATGACCTCCAGTTCCATCCATATTGCTGCAAAAGACGGGATTTCATTCTTTTTATGGCTGAGTGGTATTCTATTGTGTATATATACCACAATTTTCTTTGTCCATTCATCAGTTGATGGATGCTTAGGTTGATTTCATATCTTGGCTATTGTGACTAGTGCTGCAGTAAACATGAGAGAGGCAGGTATTCCTTCCATTTACTGATTTCTTTTTCTTTGGCTAAATACTCAGTAGTGGGATTACTGGATCATATGGTAGTTCTATTTATAGGTTTTTTTTGAGAAACCTCCATACTGTTTTCTATATGGCTGTACTAATTTTCATTCCCACCAACAGTTTGTAAGAATTCCTTTTTCTCTGCATCCTTGCCAGCATTTATTATTTTTATTTGTTTGTTTGTTTTTTGGCCCATCAGTGTGTATATTTTTTGTCTTTTTGATAATAGACATAGATGAGATAAGAGATATCTGAGATAAGATGATCTCATTGTGGTTTTGATTTGCATTTCACTGGTGATTAGTAATGTTGATCATTTTTTCTACCTGTTGGTCATTTGGATATCTTCTTTTGAGAAATGTCTATTTAGATATTCTGTTCACTTTTAAATGGTTTTTTTTTTTTTTTTTTTGCTATTGAGTTGTTTGAGTTCCTTGTATATCCTGGATATTAGTCCTTTGTTGGATGAATAATTTGCAAATATTTTCCCTCATTCTACAAGTTTTCTCTTCACTCTGTTGATTGTTTCCTTTGCTGTGCAGAAGCTTTTTAGTTTAATATAGTCTCATTTGTCTATTTTTGATTTTTTTGCCTGTGCTTTTGAAGTCTTGGTGATAAAATTTTTTCCCAGATGAATGTCGTGAAATGTTTCCCTTATATTTCCTTTTAGTAGTAGTTTCAGGTTTTATGTTTAATCCATCTGGAGTTGATTTTTGTACGTGGTAAGAGATGGGATCTAGTTTCATTCTTCTGCATTGGATATCCAGTTTTTCTAGTACCATTTATTGAAGAGGATGTCTTTTCCCTAGCGAATGTTCTTGGCACCTTTGTTGAAAATCAGTTGGCTGTAAATATGTGGATTTATTTTTGGGTTCTCTATTCTGTTTCATTGGTCTATGTGTCTTTTTTTTTTTTATACCAATTCCATGCTATCTTGGTTACTATAGCTTTGTAGTATAATTTGATGTTAGGTAGTGTGATGCCTCCAGCTTTGTTCCTTGTGCTCAGTATTGCATTGGTTATTCATGGCCTTTTGTTGTTTCATGCAAATTTTAGGATTGTTTTTTTCTATTTCTATGAAGAGTGTCATTGGTATTTGGATAGGGATTGCATTGAATCTGTAGATTGCTTTGATAGTATGGTTATTTTAACAATATTCTTCTGATCCATGAACATGGGATGTCTTTCTGTTTGTTTGTGTCTTCTTCAATTTCTTCTCCCGATGTTTTGTAATTTTTGTTGTCGAGGTCTTTCACCTCCTTGGTTAAATTTATTCTTAGGTATTTAATTTTCTCTTTTGTAGATATAGTAAATGGGAGTGCTTTCTTGATTTCTTGTCTGCTAGTTCATTATTGGTGTATAGAATTGCTGCTAATTTTTATATATTGATATTTTGTATCCTGAAACTTTACTGAATTAATTTATCAGCTCTAAGAGTTTTTTGGTAGTCTTTAGATTTTTCTAGGTATAAGATCATGTCATCTGCAAAGAGAGACAATTTGACTTTCTGTTTTCCAATTTGGATGCCTTTTATTTCTTTCTCTTGCTTGATTTCTCTGACTAGGACTTCTAGTACTATATTGAATAAGAGTTATGAAAGTGGGCATCCTTATTTTGTTCTAGTTCTTAGAGGAAAGGCTTTCAGCTTTTCATCATTCAGTATGATGTTAGCTGTGGGTTTGTCATTTATGGCCTTTATTATGTTGAGGTATGCTCCTGCTGTGCTTGATTTGTTGAGAGTTTTTATCATAAAGGAGTGTTGAATTTTAAAAATGCTTTTTCTGTGTCTATTGAGATGACTATACAATTTTTATTCTGTTAATGAGATATGTCACATGTATTGATTTGCATATGTTGAACCATCCTTGCACACCTGGGATGAATCCCACTTGAACGTGGTATATTATCTTTTTTATGTGTTGTTAGATTTGGTTTGCTAGTATTTTTGAACTCCCGACCTCGAGCAATCCGCCCGCCTCGGCCTCCCAGAGAGCTAGGATTACAGGCGTGAGCCACCGCGCCCGGCCGGTTTGCTAGTATTTTGTTGAGGATTTTTGCATCTATGTTCCTCAGGGATATTGGTCTGTAGTTTTCTTTTTTTCTTGTGTCCTTGTCTGATTTTGCTATCAGGGTAATACTGGCTCATAGAATAAGTTAGAAAGAATCCCTTTCTGTTCAAATTTTTGGAATGATTAAAGAAGAAT